GGCTTGTTTTACAACGTCGTTGCCAAGCGACGAAAACCCAACCCCGATGGCAAACACCGGGGGGGGCGGCTTGTTTTACAACGTCGTTGCCAAGCGACGAAAACCCAACCCCGATGGCAAACACCGAGGGGGGGGGTGGGAAAGCGGGGGAAGGATAACTCGGGGCATGTGTATTGGATGCCCATCTCGGAGCGTAGTTTCGTGTACTGCACCAGGGTATCTCCAGCTGGCGCTTGGTCTACTCCATTGTGGTTGCAGGGTGTCCTCGTGCACCCACAAAGGGTGCCTATAACAGGCTACAATATACGGCGTTCAACCGTCGCAAGTGCCGGCATTTCGTCAGCCAGCAAAGATCTGGACATTTCCCGCCAACCCTCCTTGTACGAGAAGCAAACGGTTTCGTGTTGATCCACAAACGCAAGAGATAATTCAACGCGTGTCAATGTTAACCGAATCAGGGGCGGCGCGCGGCCACCAGGGCGGGTATGTTTGACGAAGTTCTCCGCAGCGACCAGACGAATGTCAACCCGACGGAGACGGCAACTACGGGGAATCTGCGCAGCGCCCTTGGGGTTGTCGTGACGGGAGAGGCTGCAGCGAGGGCCGTAATTGGTCGGATGATTCGAAACAGAAAGGCCAAGATGGCGAAGACGGCGATGAGTAAAGGTGGGGAGGACTGTAGCAGTGGGGTAACAGTTGGCGCCTGCGCTCATGGTCCCATCAGCAAGGGAGCAGATAGAGGAGGAAAAACAGGCGGCCGTAGCAAGGTGGCATGTGGAGATAGAGAAGGAAGGGGTGGCTCAGCCGGAGTCCTAAAAAATAAGCCGGCCAAGGGAGTATCGATATCTGCGGGTGGCGTGAGTGGCGGATTGCTTGGAGAAGGAATATTCAAGACCGTGCTTTCGTCCATGGCCAAGAAACGTCTAAGGGAAGGGCTTCACGAGATCAAGAGTAACCCTCTGGACCTGCTGAGGCGTGGGTTTGCGGAGGTAGAGCCGGCCAAGCACGGAAGCACAGCGCTAGGTTGTCATCTTATCAAAGGGTGGGAAGAGCAGAAAAACGGCAACAAGTCTCGGGTGAGTGAGAGTTGGACGAAAGCGTCATATCTCTCGAGTGAGAGAGGTGCATGCGAACACGCACTATGCTGGCAAGGGCCGGTAGAAGAAATGGGAAAACTTAAAGTTTCTCCCATAAATATCGTTGTGCTCTTCACGGGCGTTAACCGATCAGCACCTTGAGTCCTTTCCCCCCGTGATGTCGCCGTGGTGAGCTGGCGCCTGTCACCCTCGAGAGCATCTCTTCGTACGCTTCCAGATTCACATGTCTTCGCAACCGGGAACAGAAAATGCTCTCGAAATGAAATAATCACTTGGCCAGGCGTTGGGGCACTTTCGACGAGCGGTGGCCTCCGAGCCCGAGAACGTGGAAGCTCTTTTTTGCAAGGCGGTCCTGAGCGCGCAGCTGATGGAGCTGTTCGATGCCTTGAAGGTAGCATTTGCTGCAGGCGTGCGGTAGCCCTATCCTCCAAATTCTAGGATTTGAGTGAAACGCACTGCATCCATCGTGTTCAACGATGACTCAGCATTTCAGGTCTTAATTAACAGTGTTTGGAGTGAACATGCTGTACGTGGATGCCGCGCTTGCGTGGACCATCTTCCAACTACTCCTCGTGTCACTACTCCAAAAATCAACGTTGCGGGGAGATCCTCTTTGCGGTGTTTCGTTTTTGTTCCAACCGCAACCTGACCGCAATCACACTACCTAACATCCACCGTACGTGACTATCACCGTGATCCGCACCGTTGGATTAGGACTTCTCCGCCGCCATCAGCTTCAAGCTAGATGAGACTCACCGCGCCGCGTTGCGGCAGAGCGGCGCCTCGAACACTAAGAGACCATCCAATTGGGTGACAGCCAGCGGGAACGCTGCGGGGGTTTACACACATGGTCGAGACGGCGGTGAGGCGAGGACAGGACAAGGGGGGGGGACATCTGGCGAGAGCAATGTCTCCCTTGCGCATCTGTACGGTAACCGGGCCCTGGTGCACGTGTGCCTCGGGGACGACGATAGCGCTCTCGACGACTTGGATCGTGCGGTGGCCAGAGATACGCGGAATATCACGTGAGTTCTCGTTCGTCTTCGTTGCCACATACATGCCTTCTTGTTTTTGCTGCCGCTTTACTGTTGTCTCTCTCCCGTTCTTTCGTCTGGCTGTATGTCTACAAACGATTTTCGTTCGTGGTATCCTCACTGATCTCGTCATTTTCCTGGGATGGAAGCTTCGAATCCGTTGGTTGCATACAGGGATTGTACAGCGGCGGACCGGGAGTGAATGCACACCTCTCGGCTCGATGGGTGTGTTGGGGGCGTCGTCCCTGGTCAATCGTAATTTCACGACAATGCTGATCAGACGGCCCGATCCAGTTGCTCCACGCTCCTGCCACGCGTACCCGTTTCTCGTCCTCCCATTCGGTTTCAGATATCGGTCGAATCGGGCGTTGATCTTGAGGAGGGTGGGCGATTTCAGGGGAGCTCAGCAGGATTACAGTCGGATTAGAGCTTTGCAGGTACATTCGTATATCTTGTTGTGGTAGCGTTTGCCCATAGTTTTGTCGTTGCTATTGTTCTTGTTACCGCTTTATTTGCCCGTGTTTTGTCGTTCATGTTATGGCTCTTGGTGCTATCATCTGATGACGGAAACACTGCATGTTCCGCGTGGACACCATAGCAGGAGAGAAGAACGGCGTCGCCCAAATACAAATAGGTCGCGGGGTTACTGTCATCGCCACTCGCTTGCTTGTCGCTTCAGGAACAGCATGACGACGGCAGTCGTCTTCAGCAGGCTAATTTACCGTAGCAACGTTGACGAAATCTTCGCGTGATCCTGTCCAGCGAATGGCCCTCCTTGCAACACAAATGTACTGGGAACGAAGGACCAAACGGCACCCCGTTCTTGGGCTTGTTCATGGAATTATTGGGCGGGTGAAATCCGTAGTCATGTGCTCGAAGCTTGTTGGAGTGACAGCGCACCTCGGTGTGAGCGTCGTAATCATCGTTGCAACCACACTCCTACTCAGGTAGTGTAGGTCTACCAATGTGAGGATACGCTTCAAACGACTCGCTTCTACCTGCGTGAACCCGACTCTCGCGGCAGCGTTCGTCATATCGTTCTTGACTTGCTTCCTTATGCTTCATCCCTCCGTTGTTTCGCCTTGCAGATGCTTGAACAAACAGCCACCGATCGAAACGCCATCCAAGAAACAATCAGCAGGCCGTCAACCCCCGCCGTAAAAGACGGTCCGCACACCGGCAGTATTGCGCTCAATGGCAGTCCAACCACCGCTGCTGCTGCTGCTGCTGCTGCTGCTGCTGCTGCTGCTGCTGCTGCTGCTGTTGGTGCTACTGGTGCTCCTGAAGAAAAGGGAGGCGCTAGGAGACCTCGGGCTGTCAAGAGCCATGGCAAGGGTATCAGCAGTAGCGGGGGCGGCCTCGTATCCGACGGGCCGGCAGCGATGCATGCCAGAGCAAAATCCCTGCCGAGCACTGGTGCTCGAAGTACCACCGTTGTCGTCGCAGAGCCAGGGGTGGGTATGGCAGAGAAACCACCAGCTGGTCATCATGAGCACGTCCGACGGTGCACCTCGTCGCCACTGTTGGAAAAGACATTTCTCGGAGAGGTCGGAGTTGGCTCTGTGATCCCCGCACCCGGCAAGTCCCTTCTCCTAGAGGAAAACAAAACACCGGCGAGCCCAGGGCATGGCCAGAGAGTAATGGAGCATGAGGGGACAGCCCAGGACGGCGGGAGTGTGGCGGCCGCGGCCGACGGCCCAGCGACATTCATCACACGCACAGGCGCCGCGACAAGGACCGCCGGCTACAGCCTCCCGAAGGGGCGACAAGGCGACACGCACACCGGATGTGGAAACGACCGCGCTACCGATAGCAACGACATTCCTGCACCCCCGGCCACAACGGCGGCAGCAGCAACATCAGCAGCAACAACAACAGCAGCAACAGCAGCGGCAGCGGATTCAACAATGACAACAAGAACGACGGCAGGGGATAAGTCCATTGACGCTGGGCTCTCCTCTTGCTCCAGCGAGCATTGGTCGGATCTATTCCGGGACAAACGGCTGATGGAAGACAACTTCAGGCGAAGGGCATTGCTGCGAGAGCTGCACCTATCTCCTACGGATGGGGGGGAGGGGAGAAGAAACCGGTATCCCGATGAAGATGGAAGGGGAGGGGCAGAGTCTGAAAAACGAAACAGTGGGGGCTGTGATAGACTCCGCAAAACGACTGGCAAAGGTGCGCCCGCTTTCGGTTTAACGCCGGTACATCTCACGCATGAATACGTCAACGCCGAAAGTGTCACGCTTTGGGACCATTTTACGCAGGATGCTTAGCCGAAACCACATGGGAAGCTGCAAATTGAAGAGTCGGGCCGTGAAATGAGGCGCTCCGTCACACGCTGCCCCATACCCTGTCGTAGATATTCGCCATCATACTCCATAGATGAAGTTAGAAGCAAACCTCGGCCGAAACGGGAGGTCCTCAGGGATGGAACCCCATGCATGGTCCTAGCCCGTTCTACTTTAAGTTGGGTGACTCTCACTCGTGCTAGGTGCACTGTGGAACTCGATGCCTCATTGTCGGGATATTGTTTTCCCTGAAGTTTCAAGAGATATGATGCTGCCAGAAAAAGGCTTGAACCGACCCGGCAGCACGCTCCGACGCAAAACTATCAAGAACGCGAGCAACGGCTTGACACTTTTGCTGCACGAAGTATTCCACAACGGCCGAGCCCACTTTCTTCTTGAATCCCCCCAAAAACGTTGGTCATGATGCGTCTGTCCGGCGTGCAAAGGTGCCAGTCTCGGGGAATTCAAGGCTTCGATGGGGCTTAGCGCGAAGGGGGAGCTCTTCGACGACCTTTTCTGCCGGCCTTCGTTCTTGGACGAGGCCCTCACCACGGAACCTGGGCGACGAACGCCGGAACAGGTAACCCCCACCTTCCCGTGGGTGGCACAAGGAACTAACACACCCTGGTCCGATTCTCAAACCACGATTACCCCACATGTGGCCTCGCTGAAAATGGCGACGTTGGAACCGTCTCGTCCAGAGCGATCCAGAAACGCACAATTAAGGGTGCTGTGGCATTATCTTCGATGGGGAGCAATCGAGCTTTGAAGATCGTTCCAGGGTGTGGGATAACTTATGTCACCGACGGTCAACCGCTGCCTGGCCCAAGGTGGTGAACGCGCCCACGACGGATGTCGTCTTGAAACCCCTCACTTCTACTTTCAACACCCATCCGCTTATTGCTAGTCCTACGCCCCCACCACACTATATCCCGCCAAGGGGAAGTGGGGAAAACATTCCAGGGTAAGGAGTCCACAGATCGGAATCTAGATACGGGGTCCCATCCGGGAGGTTGGGAGGGGGCGGGTTGTGCGTACGCCGCTGGAGATGTTCACTACTTGCTGTACGTTTTTTAGTGCAGCACCACTTCGGACACTTGATGATGCTGAACCGGTCGCGGCATCTCGTAGCCCACAGGGTCGATGTCGGGGTCGTCCTTTGCAGGACTCAAAACAGTTGCAATAGCACTTCATGGGTATTATCACCGGCAGACATGACACTAGTTGAGACGGGGGAAATTCTGGGTACACTCGACCGTTGTTGCACGGATGATCTCGTGTTCAAGATCAGGCGCTGAAACGCACTTGAGGACCTAGAAAGAGCACATAATTCGACGTATTTTCCACAGCATGGAGAAGAGATCGAAAATACACTCGTGGAAAAGTCAAAACATCATGTGTTAATGATGTATTGTCGAAGTTTACCTCGTGTCGATGGTTTGGAAATGACTCCCGGCCCGCTACCAAACCTTACAGCTGAACCTTAGAAACTGACTAGCCGGAATCCTCACCCCGCCACCGTTGTCCCCCGTTGGGGTGGCGTGTACAGGTCGTCCACGTGGTTGAGGCGTTGGCGGCTTGCCCGGCCTTCGACGGGCTGGCAAAGGAAGTGATGATAGAGATCGGAAACGCGGTGGAGTACCGGTTGTTGGACAAGATGTCGGCGGTGTTTCTGCAGGGGGAGGAGACCGACGCCATGGTCGTCATATTGTCTGGCCGGTACGAGAGACAGCATCATCGATGCTCTTCTTGTTGTCCCTGTCCTTGGGGAGTTTGACATGTGGTACGTGAAGCATGTCATGCCAGGGGTGCACATGGTGTCAAAAAAGACTCATATCGATACCCCCCGTATCCACACCTCGGAGTGCAGCCGACATATGAGCGGCACACCTTCGGGTGGAGATTCGACTGTCGCGCTACCGATGACTTGGCGTAGCAGGTGAATATGAAGCCACAGAAAAGACAACTTTCAGCGCGATTTGGCAGCGGTGAGTGTTGGATGGCAAGTCAAACAGTAATAGGTCCCACCGACGCCGTGGCCAAGGTTTTTACCCGTGATGCACGGAAATCGAGCCTTTGCGTAGCCCAGAAGGCTGTCGGGCTCGCAAATCGATGAAGTCACGCACTGATCAAAGTACTTCATTTCAAAACAATACGTCCAGGGTAGCTGTAAAACTGCGTAGGGCGGATTTCAGCGTGGTCACCGCCGACGAGCTCGGCCCAGGGGATGTCTTCGGCGAGGCTTGCATGCTGGACGAGCACCGGATAACGGCGCAACGCCGTCGGAATAGCCACTGCCACGAGAACGCCTGCGAGGGCGCACAAGGATCACGCGGGGCAGACGAGCCCCCGGGTTTCTTCACGTCCTCTCGAGAAGTGAACGAGTCAGCCTCTCCTCGCGTGGCGGTACCGGAAGACAAAGGCACACAGCAGCACCAGCCAGAGGAGCCACTCACGGAGGGAGCAGGTTTCCCGGGACGAGAGGGTGCTGGCTGCCGAGCTAGGATCACGAGCGGCAGCGGTAGCGGCAGCGGCAGCAGTTCCGGCACAGGGAGGTCGATGGAGACGTACCAGACCCTCGAGCCGACCCGCCTTGTGTTGATCCTGAAGCGAGACTTTTACCGGATACCGGGGCTGCTGAAGCACTGCGCTCACGCTTTTAAGGTGAACGGTCCAGCTGCCCCAGATCTTCAGCGAGCGCACCCGCCTGTGATATGCATGAGAGCGCATCCCCCCACCCGCCCTGTCCTTCGGCAGCGTCTGGTGAAATGGAACTCTGATCTGTAAATCATAGAGAAAGTTGTGCCTCCCCGGCCGTGGCGCCCACAAAAGCTCTGGCAGTACGCGACGACATACTGTAGACTTTATCCCCCCCGCCCCGTCTGTATGCCGTCAATCTTGCGGACCTCAAACGACGATGCTATTATTTTCCGTTCGGTTCCACGTGCTTGACACGTCTTTGGTGTTGATTCATGCGTAACTGTGATGTGCCGGCTTGGAAACATTGATACGAAAGCGGCGGTTGGACGCGATCAAGCTGTGCGGACTGTTCGGTGGGTGGGAGCACGAAGATCTGATGAGGCTCACAAGGATGTCTAGGATCCACAGGCATCCCTCCAAGTCCGTGCTTCTCATGCAGAGAAAGGTTGGCAATGGGCTTGTTTGAACGGCAAACAAAGCACGCGCGTACATGCTACAGGCAGAGCGACTGTTGTTGATGATGTTATCGATGTGGCGTTGTCATCGTCATCGTCATCGTCAACGGGCATTCTCGTTGATATACTTTGTGACATCGGTAGTAGATGTGGTCGTGTCGATGAAGGTGTTGCCTTTCCCGCTGGTTGTGCACATCTCGTACCACGAGACGACCGTTGTAGATCCTCTCCCAATCTCCTGTATATAGGCAAACTTTGTTGTCGCTGCTGCCTCTATTAAGGCTAAAATGGATGCCTTTGTATGTCCATGCTGTGCCGCCTGTGGGCCCACATTTCGATGCGAAAAAGGAGCCTTCGCACCTTCATATCGTGCTGTCTGGTGCCTGCACGGTGACCAAGTATCCGGATCGACTGTCGGCTGTACAGAGGAAGATAAACGAGATAGGGGCAGCACTTTACAGGATCAAGAGCAAGTACACGTATCACCGTGACGTCCGCACTAAAGTAGTGAGTGACTACCTGACTCAACCCATGCCGAAGTTGCGTGTCCTCGTGTGTTTCGACTGCGAACGATGGTTACGTTGGTGGAACAAATGGCTAGAACCTTGAGCGTAATGGTTGCCAACGAAGACCTAGCACACGCGTACGAGAGTAGTGTCACATGCTATGTATATCCGAAGAACTGAGCAACAAAACGGTCTACCGGTCGTGCAAGAGGAACAAGCTGCAGTCCAGATAAGGACCAAGAATGCAAGTTTGGTGGCATCATCTGGTCTACATGCAAGATAACAGGTCGAGCTTGCGAGACGAACACTTCATTTTCCTCACGCATTCGTCCCAGGCAAGTGGCTCGAAGGACAAAGCGCGCAGCAGAAATGCTACCCCACCGGTTGCCACAAACAACAACAGCAGCAGCGGCAGCGTTGCCGGCGGTCACGTTGACGATCGGCCGTCGACATCTCCTGTCGGAGGGGTGAATCAGCGATTGCCAAGGACGCCCGTAGCCGATTGCAGCGCCCCGCTGTCGCATGTCACGAGCACAGAGGTAAGTTCGTTCTGCGACAGTAGAAGAATCTGGAGTAGACCAGCTTTCCGGTTCGATGGCCATTGGGACCAGGATCGTTACATACGACGGGGGTACAAGTTTAGCGTGGGGCCAATTGTAAAACCCAGCAAAAGTATCAAAATGTATCTAGGACTGCAGTAGATTCGGTGACTACATACAGCCACCCGGATGCTTGCTTCCGTTGAATCACCGGGCGCCCGAAGCAATAGGCGCTGGACTTCACCAAGTTCGAGTATTGGTCCATGTTGTCCATGAAGGTTCAAAAGAAGGAGGATATCTACTTTTCGAGACTGTCTACCATAGACTATTTCGCTCCTCTCGACCAATCAAAGTTTTCGGGTGACCCCATTCGCGCTAGGTACGCCAAGCGGAGCTTGAGCGAGAGATACGCCGTTGGAAGCGAACCTTGGCTCTCATTCGTCGAAAAGACGGTGACGTCGTCAATACATCCCAGGTACGGTGTGTTGGTGATAGCATACATTATCGCGGATCACTACGTATGTATGCTCAATGTCGCAACTCTCCCGGCTTACAACAAGGTACCATGGCACTTCACGTATAGACTAAGTCGCAATTCGCGACAACGCGTCTGATCAGACACGGAGCGTGGGGAACCTGCAGTATCCCCAGTTCTTCGGAGAGGTGTGCCTGCTCGTGCCGGACGGAGGAGAGGCCCTCGGAACCGTTTCCGCGGATACATTGGTGGAAACGGTAAGAACCCATCGCATGAAGTTGAGCGTTTGGGCTATCCGAAGGTACATCCTTTTCAACGCATTTTCCTGGAGAATGAAGCTGCATGGGCTCAGAACATGGATTTTGTTCGGCGTGGTTTCCGAGAAGTATTTTACAGAGCAACTTGTTGGACGATGTTGACTTTCGTGACAACCACGTAGGGTCTATGTCGCAGTCCATGGAAGGTTGTGGCCGCCTCGACGGATGGGTTTGAATACGGAATACTATCTCTCGAAAATGAAAAATCCGAAACCTAGAGGTGAAAGTGCGAGTGAATGTTACCCAAAAAGAGGCAAAGAACCGCTGAATCCTCTCGCGTAAGCAATGAAAACAAGCACCGCAAGGGGAAGGGTGGAGACACAACAAGAAGGAATCCGGTGTGTTTCTCCTGCGTTGACCCCCGGCTAGTTCGTTGTCAACCCTATACCGAAAGGTGTAGAGAGGCTTCCAGAATACATGCGATGAGGGCGTGCACACATCTGGCGGTTCATGCTGTCTGTGACGAAGACGCGCTTGAATGACGATCAGATCATTCGACCATATCTACCGTGATACCCGTCTCTACTGCGCCGGTTGTGTGTTAAACCGGGTTCGCGGCGGGGGCGATACTACAGAATGATGTATAGTGTGTTTCCTTTACGTGGCGTTGTTGTTGACCTTGAAAAATTGAACAACACTATCAAACCAACGAATATAAATCCCCCAAAATGCGAGCAACCTGTGCGGTCCTGCGTTATTACTTCAGGTGTCAATGAGCAAGTTCGTTCTACAGACATTCCACGTAACCGACACTTTCTTGCAAGGCGTACGACAAAAGGCCTCTATCTATCCGGAAGATATCAACCTGGCCAAGGTATGTGGTCTGGAGCACTCTACAGCTGCAGAGTGCAACCATTCATTTGAAGCACATGTACTGTATTTTGCAGTAGTCGCAACGTACACGGCTCGCCGCACTTTTTTGCCCTAAATATTAGCGGCACGTCTACAGCCGAGCATTTTACTCACATTGAATGGCCTAGTATTGGCTCTGTAGGTGTACGTGCGTAAGGAATGGAATTCGTCGAGCCGAGGAAGAATTAATGTTGTTCGTTGAGCAGAGGAAGGGTTCACAATCGACCGACGACATGTTTGCTGTGCTTGTCGATCGTTCAATACGCACTTGTGACGACTCTTCGCGGCGTTTTGGGGATCCCACGATGTTAACAACAGGCAATAGAAGTCGACGAGTGGTGGGAGGTTCGACGACGCGAGCTCGTTCTCGAGGTGAGGAAGCTTGTGCCTCCGTACCGTTCGGTGTCACCTACCTAGACGACAGTGGTAACAGTACCGACGGATAACCCGGAACCGTTTTCCACGTGTTCAGATGAAGCGGGAGATAGGAGGTACAGCAACACCTCGAACTGTCTTTTGTGGGGGCTGATGAGCATGCCGTGACCATCCCAAAAGCGGGAAAATCAGCACGTCTCTTCGCCGTTCGTTGCGGGGGGAGCCTTCAATGGTTGGCAACCTTCCAGGCTGCATACCTCCGTTTTTTTGGTGGCAGGCCTACCACACACGCATATGTGTAGCATTCCTCCATCAGCCGGCATGGTGGGATTGATTTGTTCGCGTTCACTCCCAGTCACTTGCACCTTACGAGCCATGGCACGGGCTTTTCGTAGTTGACGTTGCCGGGGCGAACGCGTTCAATCCATTTGTACCATGCAATACTTGCCATTATCAGTTCTGAATGGTATTCGCGGAGTTACGAAAGATAGATCGTCGCGCCGAGACGTCTCTACGTACAACGGACCTCTTAGTCCGTCGCCTGATTATCGCTTGAGAGTGACTCGTCGCCATGACCCCCTTTGCCCCCCCCGTGCGCTTGCTCCAACCTCCGCGTGTGTGTCAGACCCTAATTGGCCCTGCAGCCACTGCAAGCGGTGGGGGGGGCTGGAAGCACAAGAACCAGGCCCTCGTGAGAAAACGGCCGAAACGACCAAAAAGACCCTCCACCGCAAACTGAGACACCCTCCTCTGCTTCATGACTTTCTAGGAACTATCATAGAGAACATTCGAACAGCAATGTGCGGACCTTGTGAAGCGGGAATTGCCCGCTGCCCAAGTTGTGGCTATAGCCGCCCTACGTGTTGCGGTTTCTTCGTGAGCCTCCTCAATCGGTGAACCTCGAGGTTTAAGCTGGTATTCTGGATTTGAACTACTGTAGGCAGGCAGGCCGGTCTCAAGGCCCGTCGGTGGCTAGAAAACAGCTGCACTAAGCATCAGACTAGTCTTGGCGTCTGCTGCGCGGGAGCAAGAGGTGCCCAATTTTTCTAGCGACTACGTGGAAGACGCAAGGAAACGAGTCATGAGTCCTCAGGAAAGCCCACGCAGCAGGAGCCGCAGCACACAAAGCCTGTCTATCAGCGACCTGTGACTCGCCGTTTCCGTGAATACCTAACCGTGTTTTGAGAGAGAGGCGGAAGAAGGGGAAAGGGTCGCACGAACATTCAGCCAAACAAAACAACCAACGACACTCCCAATCGCAATAAACAAGAGGTAGGGCCAACAACTTGTGTCCAGCTTTTGACATGTCGGGGGCTCGTCGAGGTGCTCGTTTCCGCCGCACCATCCCAACAGGAAGGCCCGGTTAAGCATGTAAGCAATTCCTCGCGAAAGCCACACGTCCCCCGGGGGTAGCTTTGGTATATCTAGTCAAGCGCCAACAATCTTGCCAAACGCAGCACATATCATCAAGCCCTTCGGGATGGGACCGAAGGTCTGCTACAGATGGGAAAGAAAACATGCCATAAACAAACTGGCAACTAGTCAATCTTGTATTACTAATAGTGTTTCACCTCCTGAGCCACGCAACTTTCTTGGGGTGAGTTGCGAAAAACACGTCAAACACGAACATGAACAGTACCAAGACTTGCGCACGCTCGGCCTGCAAAAGGGGTTCGCTCTCGAAAAACAAACGAACGCAAGAACCAAGGACCAGGGTTCCAAAATACAACAAAAGCGCCGTCTGTTCCGGCATTCGCATGCGTTCGTCACGTCATGCCCGAAAACTGGCGTCAAAAAAACAAAAACTACGGGGCAAAAGGATCAGACCAGTTTCAACGGCAATGGCGGCGTTTGAATTCATGTCTAAGCCACAGGACACTCCTCGGAAAACTCTGGCCTACAAAAACATGCACAAGACGCAAACCCATAACTGATCATATCTTAGCGCCGACCAAAAACCGACAGTGAGATGTATCAAATCGACAGAGAGACGGGAGATGTGTAGCGCAGATCAATCCGGCGTTTGAATTCATGTCTAAGCCACAGAACACTCCTCGGAAAACTCTGGGCTACAAAAACATGCACAAGACGCAAACCCATAACTGATCATATCTTAGCGCCGACCAAAAACCGACAGTGAGATGTATCAAATCGACAAAGAGACGGGAGATGTGTAGCGCAGATCAATCGACCTACCGAAATCCAGAAACCTGACGTCACGCCCACTTGACCGGAAAAAATCGCCATCGCACTAATCCACGATTTCGTCTCGATCGACCAAACATGTCCACACCAGACCGATCATCATACCGCCCCGCCTGTTGATTCTGCTCGGTCTAACTCCTGTCTTCCCGCCGTAGACATCTGCTCTAACGCCACCGCCGTATTGTCGATATCCCTATCAGCAACACCATCAACATCGCCATCACCCTCCTCCTTCCCTGCAGCTGTGGCGTTGTCTTTGGCGTCCCCCTCCCCAGCAGCTTCGGCAACCTCTTTGCCCCCTCCACCGCCCGAGGATGCTTCTAGCTCATTCTCCGTCACTAAGGGTCCGAGGTAGAGGTTCTGCGCAGGGTATCAGAAACAAAAACAATCATGCCTGGTCCTATTATGTCGTTCAAGAGGTGGGGATAGACTTGGCTACAATCGGAGAGAGAGGATGCCCCCGGTGTGATGCGCTTTGTTGACACGGCTCAACGTTGTCATCACGCGGCCAACTTTTCAACTAAGCCACGCGAGTATGCCTAAAACCCTACCAACGGCATATGTCACAACAACGAACGCAGCAAGTTTTGACACCTCCGCATTTTCGATTGTGTACGTATGTGTATTTCGGAACTACGTGATTTATGTGCGTGTGTTTGGTTGCGATCGACCCGCTAAACGGCAAAGCAAGGCGAACACGTCATCCCTATGGCGGGTAGAATATAAGAGAACACTTCTAGTGTGTGCATGCGTGTGCTGATTGACATGGGGTGGAAACTGTTTGCTTTCCCACAGCCGGACAATGGCAACACACCGGAACTGCACCGTTCACCGGCAAGGGCCAAATACCGTAAGCGTGGCGGCATAACCACGGATATACGGGTACGGGACTGGTGATCTCCAGTTGCAGCGCACTCACCCCGACAAGGCTGTCGAAGTTCACCCAACGGTGGTACTTGTCGAATAGAGCGGTGCAATCTCTGCCGGCCCCCTTCATGATCTCCGGAATTCCTCCGGGATGGTAGTGAAGGAATGGGGTCAAGTTGTAGACCTGGATGGATCCATGCCGTCCGTTTCGCGCCACGTATGAGAGCCGTTGCGGCGGGGAGGAAAGGGGGGTGGGGTCATCGTTAACAAGGCGCGTTGCTGTTGCCACGGTGCGCAGTGGAGAATAGGAGAAAGAGAACCGGGAACAGAGGACGGGTTTCTTGCGCAAGCAGGTGGCCAACCACGAGAGAAAGGCGGGGGGAGGACACTCGGGACTGTGAGTGCTTACACCTTGTCGAACTACAGCGTGAAATGGTTGCTCCAAGACCAAAGGATGAGTAGGCAAAGTTTCTCGAATTGTGTGGACACAGTCGGCTGCGATTTGCTACCCCTGTTCGACAGGGGTCTACCTTGCGAATGAAACCAAGACCTGGTTGCTATTTCATCGACAAGCGTGAGCATTTTGATCCCTCAATTACTGTAGAACGCATCCGAGAGGCGCTGCTGAAGTGTTTACACATATAACCATACTACTTGTACGTTAGGGTGTCAGCGGCCCGCTCAAAAAGTTGCACTGCAGTGTGTGCGACTAAACTGACTGCCGTATGCATAGCAGCAGACACGATGTTGTTCTCCTTTGTCCGTCTGTTGAAGCAATGCCACGAAAACTTGCTCGGGTCTGCTATAAAATTCCTCCCTTGGCGAGCAGCCGCGAAGACGGCAGCAAGTGTCTGTAATGGTAAAAAAGACGACCACACACGCCCCGTGGGAGTCAACAACACCGACATGGGACTCAGATGATGAAGCAACTCTCGAAACACGTGACAGGGCTGCACAAGATGCCCGCCCTTCCAGCACAATACTGACGTCTTCCACGCGGGAGATCGGTTTTCAAACGGCCATCGCAGAGCGGTGCGACGGGAGGAACAGCTTGTACCCCACACAATACAATAATACACTATTGTTGCTGAGTCCTCGTTGGGCGGGCATGCACGGCAGTAGTCGCATGTGTCCATGCGTGCGATACGCAAACTTACTTTTCCTCTGAATATGGACCAGCAGTCGTGTTGCGTGTTGTGCTGCCGCACTTCGGTCTTCGTGATCCCTCGCATGCCCGCCTCGTCTCTCCCCGCCAAGTTTTTAGCCCTGCCCTTCAGTAGGTTCCAATCCTGACGTTGTTTGACAGAGAAGCAACAAGGGCACGTCAGCAGGAGACAAAAATAAAGAAACGCGGTGAAGCAGGCCGGATTCCGGGGGATCGAGATTCTTTCAGGCTTACGGCGCGTCGGGGCTGGGTGCAACCTGACGTGCCGCCCTCTTCCAGGGAAGGGGAGGAGTACATCCGCACGTAACCTACTGCAGGAGCAAGCAGTGAGTGCGGCCTTGAGATTGTGCGAAGGCATCCTATTTTGTCACACGCGTAGCACCGGGGGAAAAGCGTCACGCCCGCAGCAATGCTATCGCTAGGTGGTGGATGTGCCGTGGGGGCTTGTCTTCCGTGGGCCTACAGTAGACAGGCTAGTGCAGTAGAAAGCTGTGCTGCTGTAGTCTAGTCCCAAAGGTTGCGCACGGAAAAAAGCGCAAGGATGAGACTGCTCTCTATCCCACCAACATGCTGAAACCCGGCTTCACCCCGAACTTCTTTCTTGGATTGACGGGGCCACGTGGCGGAGGCATAATCCGGTCTCCCATCCTTGCAGAGGACAGAGCGCACCTGACACAGCGAGCGTGCGTGTGATGTGCTGCGAGATGCGAGATGACAGGAAGTCTGAGGCGGGATAAAAAGAGGAGGAAGAGGAGGAATTTAGCCGCATTCTCGTGTGCCGATTCGGGACTCGGGACTGCGCAAACGAAAAAATGCGGTCGAATTGCCCACGCTGGCGCCCTGCTGTGGTGTGGACCGCCTACGCAGGTTTTTTAGTAGTATCCAGAACCCCAAAGCACGGATTGAATACTTAATCCCATATGTTTGCTTAACCGATTTTGCTGCGTAGACTACTGACGACATTGTAGTCTGAACGGGCTCAAAGGGACAAATAATGGATGAAGAAAACGACCTAGACGGCTTCCTTCTTGGGGAGAACGACAGGTATCGTGCCAGGTCATGTTGCTGGGAAAGATTATTCTTTGAGCCTATGTACAGCGTAGTCTAGAGTACCCACGGGAATCTCCTATATAGACCACACGATACTTCTGTAGAGCACAGCTACTGCTGTACTGTGTGTAATATATATTAGCACTACAAGTAGGACTGGGTATTTGCCTTCAGTCTATGAAACTACAGCTGTAGAGCACGCACAATTGAAACCTGTTGGCCTCGGCGAAGCCTTTATCGAGACAACTTTTCCGCGTATGTGTGTGTTCAATTCCCTCCAAAGTGGCAGTCTGCAAGACTGCGATATCGAATATTTCCATTGAAGATGAGCCGATTGACGTATGCTCTGCAACATAACTCGTACACAGTAGCAGCGCCCGTGTCCGGAAGTGTGTGTAATCTACTTTTGTATGTCTCCCATGCCGTACACGGTCGTACACGGGAGGGTTCGTCATATGCAGTCGACTTTTGATACGCGGTGCCGTTGATCTCCATCCTACAATAGCACACGCGGGGCGTGTTGTACTTCAAGTTTGAAACAGCGCTCTGTCTGCGAGACACGTCTGGACTGATTTCGCTGAATCTATTTTACACCATACATTTCACCGTGCCTCAAGATGGGTGATTGGGTTTCTTTTAAGTATGAGTTGCAGAGTTCCTTATCTTACGATAATTCCTCCCCTTGTTCCCGCACCCGAACGGCAACACCCACGGTGCGAAAGTGATGCTACGACTGGCGCTCGACAATGTCGCCGTGGAAGCAGCAATCACCGTTCGAAACAAGTGCGGCATTTACATGAATCGGGCAGTCGTGGAACAAGGCGAGGGAGAAGCTTGTCCTCAACTTCCTCGTTGAGTGACGACATCAACGACAAGCATACGGCAGCACCAGCGCGAGACAGAAGCATCGATGAGAGCGGCAGCCCCGGTGGTGGCGATCGAGCCGCTCCCCGCAGAAAAACGAAGTTACAACACCGCGAGAGAAAGCACCATCGTCAGCAAAGGCTAGACATGGACATTGACGCGGCCCTATCGAGCAGCAGCGGTGAGGACGGCGCCAATCTCGCTTCTGGTGCAGGGAGAGGGGGCAAGCGCCAGACCCGACTGAAGCCTAGGCACTCTTCCGAAACACCGAAACCCCAGGAAGATGGCCGGTATCGACCACAAGATGCAGTGGAAGCGCGTTTCGGGGGGCGATCAAAATGGTTCCCGGGCAAGGTGTGGGTAGACATGAACCGGTACATGGAGCAAAGCGCTCCTGGAGTGCAGTGACTACCGCAAGCAGTGTTGAGTCGTCCGCTCGCGGTTGGCACAAATATCGGGAACAATGTAGACGCGATCGATCTGCACGCTGAATCGACTGAAAGTTCTGACTCGGTGACGAAAGAGCTCACGCGGGGGGTCGTTTCTTCGTGGGATTCCCTCCACTTATCGTTTCCGATATTGCTTTGGCGAACCTCAACAACCCTTCGTTTGTCTACTACGCGCGCCTTGTTGGATGGATGACAAGGTCCGCCGTGCCTACGAGGGGCGTGAGGGGCGACTGCTGTACGACGTAGATTTCGACGACGGAGATGAGGAAGAAGGCGTCCTTGCCGGAAGGGTGCGTCGACCGGGGCAACGACCACCTTCACTGAGTGCGGGCTTAGTGGTGGACATCAAGCTGGCAAGGAAGGGCAAGGTAGGCAAAAGAAGCAAAGCTTGCAACGGAGTCCATCATGGGCAACGTTATGTGTAAAACATAAGTCGTACGGTATGGATTCCTTCATGTGCCCAACTAATTGTCTCTGGTTGTTCACTTACCAAAGAAAGTTTGTAGCGGTAATAGTCGACGAAGGTAAATGGAGACCGACTTTGGCGTTGAAGTCCAAGGCGCGGAAAGAACGCGCTCATGTTTTGGCACAGATTATTTAAGCCAAGAGAGGTATCAGGAGCCGTGAACCTGCACCTGAAGGACAGCATGGAAAACATTGGTGTTGAGCGGATGTCCGACTAACTTCGTGCACACGACGGACAGCAGTCGAAAAAAAACTGTCACTTCAATCGAACACAAAAGTAGCATGCTCGCCACACAAACAGCCGAATGTTAGGGTGGCACGAGGCACTCTCCGGTGTCATACCCAAGGACCGTCTAAATAGTACCACAGAGCTTGGTTGTTGTCTCGACCAGCATTGCGTAAACTACGAGCACCGATCACAACGCAAGCGCTGACGTTGAGCCTGTGGTTGCTTGCGGAATGCCCACAGAATGCTTTTGTTCCGCCATCTGCGCCTTCGTTTTGCGTTGGCTGGTGGTAAACAACACCCAAATCATGCACCCGCATGCATGCACCTGAATGCCAACAACAAGCAGGGGTACCACCCCGCGACCATCGGCAGAGTGAATGACGACGGCAGCCTGTACGTCAAGCTAGACGACGGCGATTCCGAGTGGAGCCTACCCGCGCAGCAGGCGATTCCGATCTATCCCTACACTCCGCCTCTCGATAAAACGAACGCTGGTGCGAGTGACGGCCAGTTGGCAGCCCCTGAGTCGGCCAGGGACGAGAACAACAGAGCAGAACCTCATGACGACGCCGACGACCAAATAGGTCAAGTGTAGACGTATCCGAAACTGACGACTGATAGCTTGATTGAGATTGGAACCAACAGATCATACTCCTTGAAATCCTTCGTTTCTCTCAAACGTGCATGCACCAATGTCCGTGATATATGTGTGGTGGTGGTGATTTCACGGGATATACAAATCGAGTTGGCACGCCCATACGAGCCACATGTAAGTGCCTGGTATGGAGAAATCATGTCAAGTACACACAAGAGTCGGAGTTCGAGGGTGTCAACTCGCGCTTGTCTCGAGGCGCTAGTCGCATGGGACCAGACTACGACCGACAAAGTACCATGCGGGTCGCCCACATCTCAAAATCCACCATAGAAGCTCCATTGCCCTCCATCTGGTCGATTGAGTTGGTCACAGCCGGTCGATCCTGCCGAGCACATATGTTTTACCTGCTCACTGCAGAGTAAGGAATCACGTGTAATATTTGAAGAGCCCTCGTTTGACTTTGTCTCGGGGAATTCAGCGCTCATGGTGCCCCTTATATCACTGCTGTCGGTTGTCCAGAATATGCTCAGACGACGTCGGCTTACGATAGGCTTCGGGCTGTACGTAGATCCCAGGTGTACTCTTGCAACGAACGTTCGGGGTGAGCGATTGAGGATTGGCTACACAACGTATACACAGCCTCTTGACGTATTTGGTAGAGGATGGCGGGCGTTCCTGAGTTGCGATCTCTCCTTTCACCATCCACCGCAGTGTATCCAGAAAACTTTTCTGCAACACCCCCTTCTGTTTCCGACCGGGAAACACCAGAAAAACGCCACCGAGAAGTATCGGTGCTTGGAGGACCTCACCGATCTGGAAAACAATATCACACATCGAAAGTATATGCTGACCGGCGTTGTGTGCATGGTTGCCGTCCGAAGCAGGACCGAACAGCACCAGCCCCCGTGCCGCTGAGGATGTCCCGCCTGCTTCTTCGGATAGAAGCAACAACGCCGCAGGGCACCAATCCTCCGCCGCCAGTACCGCGTCCGGACCATTGCCGCCGTCGTCGTCGTCCGACGGCGGTGCAGAAAAGCAAAGCGGCCAAAACAGCGACAAAAACGGCGGTGCAGAAGAGAAAAGCGACCAGAGTGGCAGCGGCGTAAGCTGGATTGCCGACCTGGCAAAGTCTGTAGAGACGCCAACACCTGTGGCACAACTATCCGATTCTGCGGCAAGGACCGACGCGGGTGGAAAGCGTAGCGAAGCTGGTGATGATAGTGGTAATCGCGACGGCGGCGGCGGCGGCAGCGGGCTTGACTGGATAACAGAACTGGTGTCCCCACTAGCGCAACCCAGTGCACGTGAGTCGTCGTCATCCGGCGGGGAAGCAAGCGCAGAAGGGGGCCCACCCGTAGCGGTCGGTAACCTCTCGCCGGTACCTATCACGCAGACCCCGGCGTTCGCACGCGGTCATGGTCCCAGCACCCCGTTAGCGACGAAAACGCCGCCACCGCGAGCCGTAAAACCGCCGCATCTCGAGTGGAAGCCTATCACGGACGGTTCGGCGAAACGAAGGTGGGGCGCGCCTCCTCCGGAAGTGGATGCGGACAAGAGCAAGGATGGCAAGGAGACGGAACCGCAGCAGCGACAACAGCTACCGAATTCCCCACCGAGGCTGTCCCGAAGCACAGCGGCACCAGACTCTACCCGCTCACTGTCGACGGACGCGGCTCCTCCAGCTGATGCCCCAGCTTCGAGCAGCGCCGCGCGCGCCTCCGCGCCAAAAATCGCTCTCCCTGCGGGGCAACGAGAGCCAAAAGCAACGACGAATGTCAGCGATGAGGGCAATGCGTCGATCACTTCCACCGCCACGATTTCTTCGCAAGGGGCGAGATCGGGAGGCAGGCCCTCAACGGTACCCGTGGCCGGAGGGCGTACGCCCGGCCCCGAGGTGCGCGAGCACGATGACACGAACACGCAGCAGTCATGTGACGCTTCCAGCGGAGCGACGGCAGAAAATCTGGGAGGCTTGCAAGATAACCAGGGCACGGAGATGCTTGCGACGCAACAAAAGGGATTCGCAAGCTTCCAGTCGTCAGGGTCAGTAAACGCCACCGTACTTCCACCCGCTGAGGGGGCACAGATTGCGCTACCACCGGTGCAGAAGAAAGGTGTTCCGGAAGGGCAAAGCGTCCGTGGTGGGAGCAGCCGGTGGGACATCATCCGGTCTTCAGTGCAGCGTCGGTGAGAAGAACGAATCGCGGGTTTCTTCTCGACACGGTATGCCGGCGGGACAGAGAGAGAGATGTGCCAACACGCTAGGCCCTGTTGACGATGGGCCTAAACGATACCTACTTGCCTTAGCCAACAAGGACGCCTGGCCTCGACAAAGGCTCTTCAGTTTGCCTCTGTGTAGTGCAGTTTCATTTACGGAGAACCGATTTCTGATTCGTCTTCGGCAATTTGAGTCACGTGAGGTAGTTGCTCGTATGCCTGGTGTCGCAAGGTGGCGTTAACGTTCACCGCCATGACTACTACTGCAGCAACCGTCACATCTCAATCATTTGGGATGTAAACTTTCAGGTTTGCCGCCGAAGCAATGCATCTTTCTGAGGAGGTGCGACTTCTTACAGCCCAGCTCGCGGCGGCGGAGGACAAAACACAGGCCAGGCTGGTGCAGGTACGCGCTCGGTTGCCGCCTGTGTTTCCTAACGGGTATTGTTTGTTTTTGGTGGACGGAATTGTCACTCTGACCCGCGCCGTAGATTGCCGATGAATTTTGGATAAGGCACCAGAAATGCGCACAGTATCTCGAGGACTTACAGAAACACGGCCCGCAAAGGGGTGAGCACGACCCCATTTTATCCAACGACAAGTACCCGCTATCCTTCACGTTCTGGTAGGACAGAATTTGTGATTGGACTGTGCGCCTGTTTCGCTAGACGTAGGCAAGACATTCATCGGCCAGCCCAAAATGATGGATCCAGTTTGAACTAAACCTCCCCCCTGCCCCACCCATTCCGTGGTACTTTTTGCGCACCCACCCTTGTGGCTCTGGCAACCAAGACTCAGCCGTTCGCAACAGTCGCTTGACTAGTTTTGCATACGCCGATGTTCGTTCTCCGCTGCCTGCTTCACAGCAAGAGCGGAAGCTCGTCCGGCAGATGGATGAAGTGCTGAAGCGCGAGCGTGACAAGATGCAGGCGCTCTTGAGCGAGGAGAGGGCGTCTAGCGCCCGACGTATCAACGCCCTGAAGGGGGAGGTCGATGCCGCGAGGCGGCAGCTAGAGCTTGAGAGAAGACGCAGCGAAAAGGTGAGGACCGGCACGTTAACAACCATTACACAGAAAATGTGTAGACTACAGCCTATAGACCAGGCTTTTGGACAGGAACGGCGGTTTCCGGGTCATGCGCCAGAATCCACTACCACCCGCTCTCTACGGGTTAGTTGTCACTTTCCTGTCAGTGGATACGGCTGCATAGCGATAGCGTGTCGGATTCTTGTCTGTGGCCGCTCCAGCCTGCTGGTACGGCGAACGCGCGATGTTTGTACCACTGAAGCTTGGAGGGACATGGGCGAAGAAAGTCATCACCAGGCCGACATCAAGTTTGAAACGAGTCTCGAGTAGCCCCATGTTCACTCCGTTAGTTCATGCTGAATCCCGTTCCAGGCCACGTCAAGCGGTGGGCAAGCTTTCTTGAGCGGGCGACGGGCGAGAACGTCTCCTCCGCTCGACCCCACCACCGGATCGGTTAGAGGAAGAGAGAAGACGCGCGGCACCGTCACTAGCTACGACCCCGCCCACGAGGCTCCAGGTAGATCGGCAAGCACGATGAGGCGCCCTCGTTCCACTTCAAGTGCACGGGTTTCCAGAACAGGGCCGTGGGGCTTGTCGGACAGAGATGCAGAGCGGCGTCATCCTCCACCGCCCCAGTTGTCGCTCGCGACGTCAAGCTCCGGTAGCGGCCGAAACGCTTCCTCGGCCGCCAGTGCCAGTGAAGGCGCAAGAAGGACGATTTCCTCAGAACGGTTGGGGCACACATCGCCTTCGTTGCTCTCCCCATTGTCTTGTGGCGGTAGTGATGGTGGTGGTGGTAGCGACGGCAAGGGTGTGGATTATCTTGCCCTCGAAAACATATTGAGAAATGTCCTGGCGACCGTCGCGGAGCCATCCTCCTCCAAAGAAGAGTCGTCGTTTCACAACCTAAAGCGAAACGACGACCAAGACGACTACAAAGAAGCGTTTGGATCAGAAGAAGAGGCATACGAAGAGCCGGCGCCGCCGCCTCCACGGCAACGGGAACGAGGGCCTGCCCACACAGAGAGAGCCGTCAGCGACGGCCACCGCGAACAAAGCTCGCGCTGGCGGCTGGAGACGGAGCGGCGAGACACGCGTAGACGCCTGGAGGCCATGAAGGGCGAGGTGGAGAGAGTCGTGGGACAGTTTCGGGCTCGTGCGGAGAGGGCGGAGGCCGCGGCTGCTTCCGCGGAGCAAAGAGCTAAGGTCAAGGCGCTGAGATATCTGCGATCGAAACGCTCGCCATCCACCGCCGCAGGGTTTGATTGATCAAAGGATGTGCCGTGTACAGAGTTGTCGTGGAACATAATCGTTTCGTGTACGAATGTTTTGTGGATAGTAAACAGGCACTGCACATTCGATTGGCAAGGGTATTTTTTCTGGAACGGAGGGAGTGCCTTCGAATCTCCCCGAAGACCACTCTGCACATCCAGACCTCAGAGAGCGGCTCTGCGGAAAACGTCGGGCGGGGGGTCAGAAGGCCACATCATTACAAGAAGTCAAGACCAAAAACGCATGGTGCACACACCTGGCCACGCAGTTCGCTCGGAAAAGTCATGGCAACCCCTGTTGCGCTCAACCGGTCAACTCTCGCAAAGCATCGCCACAGGGTCATAGCAGCAATACCTACATGCCGCCGGCAGTTGCGCACATGTGGTTCAAGCTGTCTTAGGCAATGAAACCGCCTTTCTTGCACTTGTTGGCACCTCGGCGTCAAAAAAACGTACACGTGAAGCGACCAGACTCCGACACACTTGTGGAAGTCAGCTCATTCGGACGACCCAAGCCCTATTCTATTCACACTTTCAGCCTCGACACAAAAAAAAAACGGGGACGAAGATGGTGCTTCGGCCCAGGGTACGGTGACCTGTAGCTCAACTGTCCGCGCTGTCAATTGAAGGCCACCTTCAAAAACTGACGGCCGGGCACCAGAAACAAAAGAGCGGACAAATAAAAGTCACCAACAACCTCGCATCCCTCGTTTTATTTGGTATTTAGTCTCGCTTCCCCCCTACAACTCTGTTCGGGCTAGCATGCAACCTGCAGCAGGGAAAAATGTATAATAGGGAGAACCCAGATATTACCAATGACAACGCCTTCCGCAGTACAAAACAAAGCGTAGAGTACTCCCCATATGCCCAAATCCCGTGTTGGAACTCTAGAACAAAACAGGAATTGACCCTCAAGCTTTTACTCCTGCGTTTGTGTTGGTTCCCTGCTCAGGTCGAACATCAACCGTTAACATGCCACTTTTCTTGTCTTCTACAGATGATCACGCCCTTACGCCCAGTACGCCCGGCCAAGCTCTTGTGAGCCGACGGATTAAACGGCGGCGTGGTTGTGAACAGCAGCTTGAAACGGCCACCTACAAGTGCAGAGTTTGTGGAGCCTCCAACACCCTTGACTGCCCACCCAAGTCCAGACAATCAATGCAAAACCGGAGAAAAAAATAAAAACGGGGGAGTCCCGCTGACCAGGACGCTTGCATGCTTGGCTCGTCCTGCTTTCAGACTGGCGTATTTTCATTGGCCAGTATTTTCATTGGCCAGTCACTTAACGCGGTTATTGCTAACTACAAAACACACTCTTACGATATTAAACTGTCGCTGTCGAAAGGAAAGCCAGTTACACCCGATATCTATGCATCACGTCCCAAACCCTCACGGCCCCGCCGTCCGAACCGGTCACGATAACAGCAGCGTTGCCGGCGCCGTTGTTAGCGTTACCGCCGCAATCCCAGGCGCACACGCGGAGGCAGGTGATGTCTCCAGCGTGGCCAGACTCTCTCACTACAGTCTGCGTAAGAGAAGGGGAGAGTGACGCGATACTCGAAATTAGAGGGGAGAGGTGCGAAAGAAAATAGCGCGTTACAAGATTCTTTGTTTGCGGCTCTCCGTGAGGCAGTCTGGGACAAAATTGACGTGCGTCGAATCGCTCGCGCGTGACAAATACCAAAAAGGAGAAAAGAGCAGCAATTTTGACCCGCATAGAAGACAAGGAAGAGCTAGCCAATGGCTTCGGGTGGTGGCGGGGTTTCAGAATTCGTCGTCGAGCTACCCTGCCGTACGTAGTCTCGAGAGAAGCGCCAGTGGGACAACGCATTCGGAGACTGCCGCTCGCTGTCGTCCAATGAAACAACGACGGCTAAGCATGCAGTCCCGAGCCTTAGCGCAAGGCTGTTCTCGTTGTGCGCCTCACGAGGAACACGGCTTCTGCAGACCACGTAAAAACAACGGAGGTGCCGCAGGCTCTTCGGTGTGTTCGTCGCAAACGCAAGCAAAAAGCATGGGGTGGCTCCGACAATAGCCTCACATGGTCAATAAGTAATCTCACACACAGCTAACGCCATGTTCTGATTCGTCCCCTTTTCCTCTCGCCCCTGAGAGACACCCCGGTGTTTGCCATCGGGGTTGGGTTTTCGTCGCTTGGCAACAACGTTGTAAAACAAGCCGCCCCCCCCGGTATTTGCTATCGGGGTTGGGTTTTCGTCGCTTGGCAACGACGTTGTAAAACAAGCCAATTCACTTCGTGAACTCGGCAACCAGGTTACCGTTTTTTTTTT